AAATAGGAACCTGTTACTCTGTCTGCTGGGGCGGCAGCAAGGGTCACCCACTCAGACCTGGGGTTGGCAGACAGAAATGGCTTGTTAGCAAGGCCAGTAGGGCTCCGAGCTGCGCGGCCCCTCAGGTGTAGGTAAACCAGGCGGATGAGGCCAGGCAGAGACAGGCCGCCTCCCTGGGCCCCGGGCCTCTCTGGGGCTGCAGATCTTGGCCAGAAAACCCTGGCAGGTCTGTCTACCTCTGGGAGAAATGGCTCTCCCTCTCCTGGGAAAGAATCCGCCTCTTGGTAGTTAAACTACCCTGGGTGGTAAAATACCCCCTGCAGGCCTGGGGCCCAAGGGCTTTCTAAAACACAGGTCTCCACTCGTTAAGATGCCTACCGTGGGGCTGATGGGCTAAGTCCAGAAAGTTCAAGAGACCTTGGGACCCAGGCCCGGATGGCCTTCAGGTGCCGGCAGACAGAGCAGGCCTCTGCCCTCCCTGACACTCTGACGCTGCATTCCCGGCCAGGCCCTCCTGTGGCGGGTGGCGGGTGCCGGGAGAACTGGGGAAGCCGGTGGGCAGGCGGGTCAGGGAGGGGTGCGCAGGGTCCTCCCGAGGCTGAAGAGAAGATGGCTGAGCTCTACACACTGGGCCCTCAGGAATAGGTGACCCGCCCATCCACCCATGAGAAGTGGGGCTCAGGGGCCCCATGCACCCCGCCCCTCAGACGGCACACAGGGGAAAGGGACAGAAAACGTGGGGCTCCGCCCCCCGCCCTCGCACCCCCCAGAGCCTCAGACAGACGGGTCACCACGCTCTCCCTGTGGTGCTGACTCCATCCCCCAGGCCTGAGAGGTGGCCTTCCGGATCACCAGGGTCCAACCAGGGCCTTCACATGCCCTGTAGGGACGTGGCTGCACAGTGGGGAGCCGGCCCCAGCAGCAGCTTAGCACCCAGTCCCTGGTTTTGGTTTTGCTTCCTGCTGAAGTTCAGAGAGCCTGTGATGCCTGCCCACCCCCAGATGGACCCAGGAGGTGTCCTCAGTGGCCCCCGAGGCAATGCCGAGCGTGGAACAGGGTCGGGGTCGGCAGGTACCGCAGGCTTCCGGGGGCTCACGTCTGCAGAGGGTGACGCCCCGCCGGTCGCAGGCTCTCCGGGGCCTGTCTGCTTGTTCCCTCCAGGCTCAGCCCCGGGCTCTACCTCCAGCCAAAGCATGAATGGCCTCGAGGTGGCTTCCCCAGGCCTGATGGCCAACTCCTCCCTGGCCCCCACGGAGCAATGTGGCCAAGAGACGCCACTGGAGAACGTCCTCTTTGCCTCCTTCTACCTCCTGGATTTCATCCTGGCTTTTGTTGGCAACTCCCTGGCCCTGTGGCTCTTCGTCCGGGACCACAAGTCCGGCACCCCTGCCAACGTGTTCCTGATGCACCTGGCCGTGGCCGACCTGTCCTGCGTGCTGGTCCTGCCCACCCGCCTTGTCTACCACTTCTCGGGGAGCCACTGGCCGTTTGGGGAGATCCCGTGCCGGCTCACCGGCTTCCTCTTCTACCTCAACATGTACGCCAGCATCTACTTTCTCACCTGCATCAGCGCTGACCGCTTCCTGGCCATCGTGCACCCCGTCAAGTCCCTCAAGCTCCGCAGGCCCCTCCACGCCCACCTGGCCTGCGCCTTCCTCTGGGTGATGGTGGCCGTGGCCATGGCCCCGCTGCTGGTGAGCCCGCAGACGGTGCGGACCAACCGCACGGTGGTCTGCCTGCAGCTGTACAGGGAGAAGGCCTCCCAGCACGCCTTCGCGTCTCTGGCCGTGGCCTTCACCTTCCCGTTCGTCACCACGGTCACCTGCTACCTGCTCGTCATCCGCAGCCTGCGGCAGGGCCCACGCGTGGAGCGGCGCCTCAAGAACAAGGCGGTGCGCATGATCGCCGCGGTGCTGGCCATCTTCCTCATCTGCTTCGTGCCCTACCACGTCCACCGCTCCGTCTACGTGCTGCGTTACCGCGGCCACCGCACCTCGTGCGCCGCCCAGCGTGCGCTGGCACTCGGCAACCGCATCACGTCCTGCCTCAGCAGCCTCAACGGCGCTCTCGACCCCGTCATGTACTTCCTCGTGGCCGAGAAGTTCCGAGACGCCCTGTGCAGCCTGCTGTGCGGCAAGAGGCTCCCGGGGCCGCCCCCCAGCGCCGACGGGAAGACCAACGAGAGCTCGCTGAGCGCCAGGTCGGAGCTGTGAGCCGGGGGCCACCTCTCTGAGCACCGCCTCGTCCCCAAGGACCAGCCCTCAGACTCGCCACCAAGGAGGAGCCCGCCTCCACCCCAGCGGCCCCGAGAAAACAAACTGCAGGCTCAGCGGGCCACCACCACCTGCTCCGAGGCCCGAACTCATCACCCGGCGCCGAGTTCTGTCCTCTCTGCCACGCAAATCCCTGAACAGGGAGCACAGAAGGGACCAGACGGCCACCCCCCTGCGGAGACTGGCCCCGCTCACTCACAGCCACAAGACACTCAGCAACTTCACCCCCTGCTGAGGGGGCAAGGAGGCCAGAGCATCTTTCTCTCCCAAGGGCCGCCTGCGAGGTGCCCAGCCTCCTTCCCCCGACAGAAAGGCGCAGCGGTGAAGCTTTGCAGAGAGGACGCCGGAGACAGCTGCAAACGGCCCACGGGAAGAGGGGGCACTGGAAGCTGGGTGGGGGCGGGGGGGGGGAGAGTCTAAAGGTTTTCTCTCAAGTGCAAGGTGCTTTGAGGTCCCTTTGTGGCACCTTTGCCAAAGGACTCTGCATTTAGGGGACACAAGCTATAAATTAGAACCCAACACTGTAAGCACATTTAAGGGTGGTCACCAGGTGACAGCCAGCAACACGGGCGGGGCCTGTGAGGCACATCAGCTCTCCATCCCTCCCGCCAGAAACCCACACACAGACCTGCATGTGCCCGACAATCCCCAGGGCTTCTCGGCAGCTGCCCAGTCCTTCCCGAGTCCCCGTGGAACACGTGCTATGGGGGGACGGTCACAGGGAGCTGAGCTTTGTCGCCGCCGGGTGGCGGGGAGGGCAAGGCCCGGCCTGCGAACCCGTCTCCCACTAACCCAGACCCAGCAGGGGCAGAGCCCCACTCCTTCCCAAGAGGCTTCCACCAGTCCCGGCGGGCCAAGCTTTGAGCTGTTTTGCTTATAGGGTGGTCTGATCGCCCTCACCAGTCCTTTCTTGTACTTGATTACACTGATCATAAACATAACTGTACTTTAGTAACTGAAGGTTATTCTGTTTGGTTAACACAACTCCCTCCCCAGAACTTTTCTTCCCTCTGACCCAAGAATGGCAAAGCGGAGGCAAAGGCAGCAGTGTGGACTGTGGTTCTGGTGGTCCTACGGTGGGCCTGCCCCGCGCAGACTCTGAAGTTCTGCCCCGTGGGCTTCAGAGCGCCGACCTGGGCTGGAGGGTGTGCGTAGGGCCCCCGCACTCCTTTCATCACAGTGATACTTTACTTTCCTGAGCACGTCCAGCCTCTTCCGGATTTTTCCAGCAGAGCACCGGAGCAGGGGTCCCAGCGTGAGCTGCGGCTCAGGCCCACACCCGGCAGGTGACCCCACGGACCAGCATGGGACACCCCCCCCGCCCCGCTGCACTGTCTGCCCCCCGATGGTCTCTCAGATCCGCACCCAATACCCAGGCTGCTACTGAGTGCTCTGCAGACACCAAGACGGACAACACGCGTCTCTGGTGGGGTAGGCAGATGGGCGAGACCGCTACGGCAGCGTCAGGAAGGGGTGTTCGACAGGCACCAGAGAATGTGACAAGTGCCCAGATGGGAGGGCATGGGAGATGGACAGCTAGGGCGCTGCTAATGAGGCAGGCCTGCTCTTCCCTGAGGCCTGGCTGTCGGCAGAGGGGAAACTCGGAGTCGGTTGGTTGGTTGGGCTCTGTGGCATTTGGGGTGCCCTCTGGGCACCAAGTGGAGCTGGCACGTGGGCAGTGGGGTACTCTGGGAGAGGTCTGGGGTGGAGGTGGACATCTGGACTGCCCAGCACACACTCACCATGTGAGGCACCGGGACTTTGGGCCCAGTGCAGAGCCCCAGAGGAGCCCAACATGGAGAGACGGGTGGAGGAAAGTGAGCCAGGAGAGGAGAGGGACAGCGCAGCCGTGAAGTAGGGGGAAACTCCCAGAACACGGGGGCCTGGGTGCCCAGAGAGGAGCGGGGGCCGCCGTGAAGGCCGCGGAGACACCGACCAGCCTGGGCGGCGGGGAGCAGACGGGAGGATGCGGCTGGTGGACTGGGGAGGGCTGCAGGCAATCGCTGTGGAAAGAAGGCTCAGAGGGTGCTTTGAACCCTGGGGGCCACCAAGCCTGAGCCCTTAGAAAGGGAGAGAGAGCGGACCAGAGCCATGAGTCCCTGCTGGAGAGGGTGTGTGGGGTGAGCAGGGCTTTGGGTGCAGGGACACGGCCCCCGCTCTGACAAGGCAGGGGGGCAGCACAGATGCCGGGCGGCAGGGGTGCCCATCCGTCGGGGAGGGGGAGGGGAGGTCCTGGCTGTGGGTGTGATGGTGCAGGGACAGTGGGGGGTCGGGTAGGAGGCGGGGAGAAAAGAGCAAGTCTTCGTGGAAGGTGACAGCTTAGCCTGCTGAGGAAACCTGGGCCCCAGCTGAGTGCTGTCCCTCCAGCAGCGCTCGTGGGGCGTGAGGACAGAGGTGGACGGCCGGGGCCAGCACTGGAGGCGGCCGGGCAGGCAGGAACTTGACTCAAAGCTCCTCATCCTTCCGCTGCACCAACTTGGGCCGCTTGGGCACCCGCTTGGGCCGCCTTCCTCCTTGCTGTATGCTGTCAGCCTGCTCCCAGGAACAGCCTCGAGCCTGGGGTGGCCCCCGACTCACCATCCCTCACTCTCTCCAGGCTCCGTCCTCACCCGTACACTGGACAGGGCTCTCCCATCCGCCTCGCAGGGACAGGGCTGCACGGCAGCCCCATCCTCAGCCTGCAGCGCCCGGACCGGGCCTGGGCCCGTGATGAGGGGCCCATCTCACCTGCCGGCGTTCTTCACAAAGCCCAGGTCGGCCAGCTCCACGTCGCACAGCTCGCAGCGGAAGCACCCGGGGTGCCAGTTGTTGTTCATGGCCTTGATGACGCGGCCAATGATGAACTCGCCTGGAGGAGAGAGGTTCCTGCTCGCCTCGTGCCCTGCCCCTCCGCGGGCCCCTCCCAGAGCCGGGAGGGTGGCGTCCGCGGGAGCCCGGGGCCGATGCTCTGAGGCGCAGAGCTCTCTGCCCACCCGCCTCCCAGGCAGCGCCGAGGCCTGTGCGGCCCTTACCGCAGGTCCTGCAGCACGGAGCGAACAGCATCTGGAAGTCGTGTTCACAGTACTTCCGCCCTTCGAGCTGCAAACGGGGCCAGCAGACAGAGGACAAGGAAGGCACTGTCATCCCCCGAGCTGCGCTGGCCCGTCTGCTGGGTGAGGACCTGCCCTCGGGGACGCTGGACAAACACCCCACTTTGTGCACCTGCTACCACCACAGGAAGCTGGGGGGGGTGGCGGTGCGGGGAGTAATTCCGGACAGTGAGCTGCCCGTGCAAGGCCTGGAGATGGAACGGGATTGGCCTGTTCGACTTGGGGAGAGTGCAAAGCGAGGGGCCTCCAAGAAGCTGGCAACTCAGCAAGGCCAGCCCCGCAAAGGACCACTGCTGTTTGCAGAAGATCTTGGCCCTGTTGGTCTCAGGAACGAGCTGAGGGCTTGGGGTGGAACGTCAGGCTGGGGAGGGCGGGGATCGAGTTTGAATTCTGTGTGTCCCTTGGCCCTGTTTCCTGTGTGAGAAGTCCATTCCCCCAGCGGCCACAAAAGACCCAGGGAAGGGACACAGAAGGAGGGACACAGGAAGGGGGGCAAGGGAGCCCTGCAGCCGCTGTCCCCATCTGTCTGGGCAAGGAGGGCCCTCACACTGGCCCCAAGTGTGGCCCCAAGAAAGTCCCTGCTTTCTTCTCCCTTGATAATTGTATTTGGTTTTCCCCTGTTCTCTAAAATGAGTGTCTTATTAAGCTGCACCTGGCTAGAGCCCTAGCCAGTGACCTTCAGAGGCGGCAGGAATTTAAACTGTCGTAGGCACATCCACAGGGCCCTGCCCACATCTCCCCTCCCCCCACCCCCGCCTCCATCATCGGCCAGCATTTCCCAGGAGGCACCACAGGCAACAGCAACTCCTGCTCTGCCAGGCAGATCACACACCCCACAGCCATCTACCAGCCCGTCCCATCAGCTTGGAAATCTGTCCAGCCTCTGAGCACTGCCCTGGTGTGCTGGTAAACATTTCACAACCGGCTCTGAGGCTGCCTTGCAGCGTTTGCCGATTTCTACGGTATAAATATTCCCACCCGTGGTCAATTTCAAGCTACCAACAGACCTCCGCATGGAGCTGAGAAGAGACGTCAGTAGCCACCACGGTACGGTGTTTCCAGCACACAGGCATAATAACAAATCATAACCTCAAAGGCACAGCTGATCGTGAAATGTAATAAAGTAATCAGGAAGCGGTGAGTTTTGAGTATCTGTTACCTTTGTTGTTTTAATTAATTTTTATTGCAGTATAGTTGCTTTACCATGTTGTGTTTCTACTGTACAGCAAAACGAATGTTACCTTTGTTTTCAATACAGTTTTATCTCATTGTATGTTTATATCATTTAACTTTTAGTAATGGCTGTGTTTAACAACTGGCTTGCAAGGCTGCTGAAAATTTAACGATCTGCTCTTGTGACCCAGTGCAGCCCAGTGTAGGCCCCTTCACTTCCATCTGGATTACCGAAATAATCAGCTTCTGGTCCCACCTGTTCTCCTAGCTTCCGTCCCCGCCGCACAGTCTCTCCTCAGCATAGCAACCAGAGGTCCTTCTCTAAGGTCAGACAGACGATGTGACCCCTCCCCTCCAGACCCTGCAGTGGCTGCTGCCCCTCCCAGGAGGAAAGCCTGAGGCCCCACGAAGCCCCACGGGGCCAAGCAAATCTGCTTCCCCACTCTCGTCTTCTTCTGTTCCCTCTCCCTTTGCTCTGCTTCCATCACACCGGCCCCCCCACTGCTCCTCAAATACCTGCGTGCTCCAACCTCAGGGCCTTTTTGCCCTTGCTGTGCCCTCTGCCGAGAGCTCTTCCTGCAGGTACACGCTGCTCTCTCACCTCCTTCAGGTCTGCTCAGACATTCCCTTCCCTGATCACCACCCCGCCTCCCCTGAGATGCCTTACAACCAGAGCGCTTAGCACCATCTGGTACACGTGGGTTACATTTACTGCATGACCCCAGGGAGGGTAAGTGCCACCACGGCAGGGTGTTTGCACCCCAGGGCCCCCCAGCATCTGCCCAGAGGTGACAGGATGAACGGCGACTCTCCTTCAGCACCCATGGCCACCAGGAGAACACTGTTCACATCTCACAGCTAAGGGATGGGGCCCCGAGGTGGCCAGCAAGGTCCTCAAGGAGCACTGCTCGGCTCAAGGGCTGGCGTGTCTGCCTCATCCTTCACAAGAGGACCACGGCCAGGCATGGCCCACAGGCTGCCAGAGGGCAGACCCTGAGCTGGGTCCGGGGAGCATGCTCACCTCGTAGAAGAGCCCGTCGGGGAAGGGCCGGAAGCACTGAGCGCACACGAAGCAGTGCTCGTGGTACAGCTCGCCGTTGCTGTTGACAATCCGCTCGGCGGGGGCGAAGCGGGCCTGGCAGCGCTGGCACACGGCATTGGCCAAGGCATTGGACATGTTACTGGGTGGGAAGAAGGAACGGGCAGGTCAGGGCCTGAGGGCCGCACTCGATGGACACGCTTTCTGGGGTGAAGACTGCGCCGTGCTCACCCCGGGTCGGCCTTGACACCGCAGGGACTGAGTCACACAGGCGGGGCCACGCTGCCCGGCACCGGCTTGGGTCACCCATCCCTGCAGCTACCTTGTGCCTCGGGCACATTGGGTGCCAGCGCATGCCAGGCCACGGTGGCCTTCCCAGATGACAACCCTGCGAGGCCAGCGCAGCGCCTCCATCTCCCAGATGGACAAGCGGAGGCCTGGAGAGAGTGACCCGCACACCACCAAGGCCACAGTGGGCGGAGGCAAAGTCTACACCAGAACCGGTCCCCCGCCTGACTCTGGGGCCCCAACCTTCCCCCACACCCTGCAGCCCCTGATGCCCCACACAGGGGCTCAGGCGCAGGCCCGGCCGTCGCCGGGCTCACGCCGGCCAGAGCAGTCACGACTCAAGTCCGTTGCTCTCACAGGGCGGCCGGGGCTGGCCCTCGCTCTCCGGGCCCAGGCGCCCAGCCGTGGCAGGACCCTAATCACGGCCATGGCCACGGGTTACAGGCTGTTAGACGACGGACACACAAGCTTTCAGCAGGGTGCCTGGCCCACTGTAAGCCCGCAGCGGACGGCGCTGTGCTTGTCAGTGTTACTGACCGGGCCCCCAGGCTGCTCAGACATGGTGCTGGGCCGTCTCTAGAGGTGTCAGGGACACTCGGCAGACACAGGGGAGCGGCTCGGGTTTTACACACTTATTTAATCCCCGAGGCCACCCTGCTTTCCTAAGGCTCAGAGGGGTTAAGTAACTTCCCCAAAGTCACAGAGCAGATGACAGCGTCCAGATTTGAACACAGATTGGTCTGACTTCAATGGCTCTTTCCCCTGCACCACGACTTAGTTTCAAATCACCTGCACCCCCAAAACATATAACCACCCTACCATGGGGAAGGTGAGATTGTGAATATTGGAGATGGGAGCAGAGTGGGGAGCGGACCTCCTCATCCACAGAGGGCAACTGCTGTCCCCGGGGAAGTGGCAGACATCCCGCCGGGAGGCGTGGAATCCGAGCTAAACTACAGGGGAAATGGCCACACAGAAAGATGTGTGCTGGCTCCAGGCTGGGGCCCCAAGGCTCAGGCTGGAGGAGCCTGGCTGTCAGCCCCGACAGTCTCTACAAACGCCCAGCACCCTGATGCCTGTGCCTTTGGCTACAAGGGCGGCAAAGAGATTTTGTCTCGTGTCAACTGGGTGGGCACAGAAGGAAGGTCAGGCTCAGTGAGGAGAGATGTAACCAGCTGGCAACATCGCGTAGACGCGTGCGGTGGCACACAGCACGTCTCCTGAGAACATCTCTTCAGCCTGTTCCGCCTCCCGGGATGCTGAAGCCCACCCCTCCCTCATGGCCACAGCACAGGGAGGAGAATTCTCAAGTGAGCAATGCTCGTGCTGGGGTCCCTAGGCGCGACGAGCCCAGGAGGTGGGAGAGGGCTCTGCCTGTCAGGGGTCTAGGTGTGGACAGTGGGTCTAGCAGAGGGTCGCTGCCACATGGACACGGTATGGAAGCCGGGCTGGGGCACCCAGGCAGGACTTCCTCTCTGCTCTGTTGGAGGAGCCCTCGCGGCAAGGGCAGGGCCGGTAGGCTCCTTGGCAAGCCTTGCCAGGCAAGTGCACCTCTGCATGCCTCTGCCTGCCCCCAGGTTACCTGGGGGACCAAAGCCGTCTCCTGCATCCATATTTAAGCCAAAGGGGCAAGGAGGCAGGACAGTGGCAGGAGGGATGGGCAGAGCCCAAGATGACAGGGAGGCTCTGTGCACAGTGGCCACCACCCTCCTTTCCAGCTCCCTGCTGATCGCCACAAGGCGATCAGTACCAGTCTCCATGGGCTGGGCTGGACTCTGTCAGCACAGGCATGGCTTCCTGTCCCAAGAACACTGTGAACCTGGAGGCCTTGTTCTCCCCAAACACACATACCCAAGGTGGCTGGGAGGAAGTTCCAGTGCCTGGCCACGAACAAGACCTTGGCAGGTCTTGGAGTAGTCAGAAATCAACAGGAAATCCTGTGACTCTTGAGCCTGGAATTCCCCACTGAAAGGACCCAGAAAATGAAGCCAAAACAAGAATTCAAGTGCAGCCCCAGGCTTCCAGATTGTTCCAGACCTCTGGACCCTAACCAAGAGAGTGCACAGCAGGCCCATCTTCGGTTTGCCTCTCCGGAACTCCAGCCTCCCCGCAAGGCAGACATTTGGGGACTGCGTCTCCACGCTGTCACCACAGCAGCCGGCCCCCAAAAGAGCAGCTGGCCCTTCACTGGTCTGGGTCTAGTTCCCTGGCTGGGTCCCTGGGAGTCTCAGGTCAAGGATTCTGCCGTCTGTCCCCGACACACCTCGCAATAAGCCCCGGCACAGACAGGTGGGGTGCGGGGGTGACCACCTCCCCCCTGCCCCACCAGCTGGCCCAGCCCAGGTCTCGGCCAGGTGCACCCCCGGCGTCACTTCTGTGGCTGCGTCCCCACGGCCCCTGCTCCGGACCACAGAGAACACCCCAGCTCACTGGCCGAAGGCAGACGGATGGGCCGACGTGCTCATGTGCCGGACAGCCGGACCACAGGCCCGTCAGAGAAAACGCCAGTTGTCCCCTGCAGGAGGAGGCCGCTCTGGGCTCCACCCCGCGAGGTTAAACCCTGACAGCCCTAGCCCCCAGCTGTGCACCTGGAAGAAGGCGCCAGCTCCTCGGGGCCTCATTTCCTCATCTGTAAAGAGGTCCCCGAGGAGCAGGACCTGCCCCGCAGAGCTGAAGCGAAGAACTCGCTGCCTGCAGCATAGGTACAGAGCGCGGAGCACAGGGCCGGGCAGGCCAAGCGCTGGATACAGAGCGGTTGTTGCCGGCAGCTCAGGGACACCACCACCACCCCCACCACCCCCCACCCCACCCCCACCACCCCCTGCCACCCCGGCCCAGCAGCGCTCCCTGCAAGGACAAAGGAGGGAGACGCGCATGCTACACCGCCTTCACACATTCCGCCCAAGAGCTGGGAGCACAGTCTGCCCGGTTACCTGCAGGGAGACACCGCCGCCCCGCCCTGGCTGGACAGCACACAGACACTGCCGAGGGCATGGCCACCACCTAGAGGCCAAACCCCAGAGCTGGGGGGTGGGGGGGCACACCTGTGCTCCCGAGCAGGGGCCATGGGGATGCCGTCACAGAAGTGCCCGCTCCCTGAGACGGGCTGGGGCAGCCGGTGGGGCAGGAGGGAGGTGGTCACCCCCATCTACCCTGTACCCTTCTCCGACCCTCCGCGGCACCCCAAAGGCTCTCAATCTTGACAGCCAACGCAAGCCTATTTGTTGCAAGACGTCACTGAGCTCTAGCCTGGGGTGGGCTGGAGGGAGTGCTCTCCAAGCCAGGTCCTCGGGAGGGGAGGTTGCTGGTTCCAGATAAGGAAACTGACGTGCAGAGAGGGTCTGAAGCCTGCTGAGGTCACACGGGATTGGACCCGTGCTCTCTCGTCCCCTCAGCTCCTGGTGGCATCACACAGGCATGACCATTCAAGACTGCTTTTTCAACAGCCCCAGACCATCCCCCACTCCAGTCTCCCACCCACCAGAGCCTAGAAAGCCAGCGTGTGGGCCCAGGAATAGGCAGGGGCTGGCCACAGGGGCCTTTGCACACTCGAGGGTGAGTCCGTGTCGCTGAGGCCAGGTGATCCCGCACAGCAGTCAGTCACAAGCCAGAAGCTCAAAGAAATACCAAGCTGAGGTTAGCATATGAACGTATGTGCATGCATGTGTGCACGGGACTTTCCTGAGGCCTGATCTTCACTATCAGCCCTGCCCTCCTTTCATCTGGCTCAAGTTCTTGTGCTGCATCCATACAGTGACACCAGCCTCCAGCTTGGCCTCTGGCCCATCAGGGCCCTGGTCGCCCACTCCCAGCTCACTCCACAGATGTCCACGGTGATCCAGAGGCCAACCGGTGAGGGTTCCCGTTCACTCAGGTAAGTCACTTGGCCTCCCGCGCTCCGGATTCCCCACCGGAGCAGTGGGCTTGTCCAGTGCCCATCCTGGTGTGGCCCCTGGTGAGGGGCCTGAGACACGGATGCAGGTGCAAGCCCGGCTACAACAGGTATCCCGCGGGTGGCCCTCTGCAGCCTCTGCTCCCTGCCCCCCACCTGACGGCCTCCCAGACACCTTTGAGGGCTCAACCCTCAGCCCCGCTCCGGAAGGCTGCCCTGGCCATGCGCGCACCCTGAGCACACAGTGGGGTGCACGTTTAACGCAGAGCATCAGCCTCTGGGTTCGCTCTCCTCCCGCAGCCTCCAGGCAGCCCACCTCTGTGACTGCTGCTCTGTCTCCTCCCTGAATCCCCACCCCCTCCTCGCAAACCCCACGTCCTTCCCACAGCTCCTCCCCCACGCCTCCGGGGGTCCCACCTGCTATTTTGATGCCAAAGACCCCAAGCCCACGGCTCTCACCGCTCTTACTCCCTGCAACTTCAACATGTCCAGGAGCCCCTCCCCCAGCCCCACCCTCACTCCGGGGGCTCCACTATCTAAGTGCCCCCTCAGGCCCTCCCCACCCCAGGCTAACTCATCCTCGAGATGCCCTGAGGTCCATCCCGTACCCACAGGTTCCCCCTCCCAGTCCCAAAGGAAGCTCTCCTCATTGTCTACACCGGCAGTTCTCCCCGGGATAAAGCAGTTCAGGCTTCAGAGTCAGTCCACCCTGGCTTCAAGTCACAGCTTAGCCATTTTTTGGATGGGTGATGTCCAGCGCGTTCCCTGACCACCCAGGGTGCTCATCTAGAAAGCGGCCAGAAAGCGATCCGAGTCTGAAAGCGGTCGTGGAGGTTACCTCGGGCAACTTATCTGAGCGCCCCATCCTCAGCGCCCTGCCCAAGAGTGCTGATCCCAGGACAGCAAACCCGGCTGGATTAAGCCGCGCCCTGCCCCCCATGGCCGCCACGCCCGGCGCCGAACTCACGCCCGGGGCAGCCGGGCCGCCGCCGCCGCCGCCGTCGGAAGGGCCAGGCGGGTGTCCGAGGAAAGGCCCGCGGCGGCAGCTTTCCGGCCATTGTCCCCCGCGCCCCCGCCCTGCCCCCGGCCACCTACCCGGGCGCGGCGGGCGGCGAGCTCTGCCGGTGCTGGCGCCGCCGGTACAGCCCCGACGCGGCGAGCGCGCCCAGCCGGGCGGCCATGGCGCGGGCCTCCTCCTGCCGGCGCGTCGCGGGCCGCCTGCTCCGACCGGCCGTCGGACCCCAGCCTCGGAGGGCAGGTGCGGCGGCGGGCAGCCACCAACGGCCGGGCTGGGCGGCCGGACTCCGGGCGTGCGGGGGGCGCCTCGGCCCCCACCCCTCTGCACAGGAGCTCACGTTACGCACTGCGATCTCCAAAGGGCAGCAGAGTCAACTCCGAATAGAAAGGATATTGTTCCCGCCGCGGGGGCAGCACAGTGAAAGCTGAGGCTGGCAGGGTTGGGTCCAGGCTGGGGAGGGAACACGCTGGGAAGCTCCCAAAGTGCACCGAGGTGAGAGGTCCAGTCCACAGTGGCAGGGCAGGATGCCTGGAGATCCCGGGTTGCCAGGAGCCTCCGAGGAAACCCTAAGCCCCCTGGACATGCTGACGATGGTACAGACATCTGAGGAGGGCAGTATGGGACTGAGCCAGCTTAGGAATCCTGCAGTCAAGAAGCTGATGAGGGATTCCCGCACATGCCCACGTTTGCCTTGTTCCCTTCCCTGAGAACATGCAGCCACCTAGGAGACCCAGACCAGGGCAGCCCGGTCCCTGGATCTGGCCAACAAATAACCATCCACCCCAAAAGGGGTCCACACTGTCAAAAGCTAGAGGGCAGGTAGCCCCCCAGCTCACCACGGAAAGCAGAAGCAGCAGCCTCCAATGGAAGACCACAAGAAAGGCAGCGTTTCCATGCCTTCTTACTTAAAGGGACTGGGGGGGTTACTGTGATCTAAGTGCAAACACCCACGGCCAGCATCTGAACTGTGGCCACTGCTGGCCAGGCAGGCACCACGCGCAGCGTTAAATAAGGATCCAGAGGACTCGCAGAAATCTATAACTTAGATTCCATTTCCCTGGAAAACCTTTCTAGCGGGGTCAAGGAAGCGTGAGCAGGATCTTCCTATGCCTTCCATCGTTCCAGGGTGCTGGGCCTCCAACACGGGGGCAGGAGGAAACTGAGGGGATCCATCGAGACTCAGATGCCAGTCCCAGACACCAAGGAAGACACGTCATCTAGTAAATCCAAACACGAGGAAGTAAGTACTCATTAACTACCCTGGGGGTCAACCCCCAAACACAGCCAGATGACTACAAACATTGGGTGTAGTATATAGTTTGTCAAAGCAGCTCAGTTCCAAAGGTACCAAGCACTGATCAATTCAACAAATATTTTCTTAAAGGTGGCCCCAGGGGCTAAAGGGCAGAGAGAAGCTGAGCCTGGAGCCAACAAGTAGAAGGATCACCTCCCACCTGCTGATGGAGAGAGATGAATGCTTAAGAAAGCTACTGTAGAGAGTTTTCTTAGAGCAGCTTCAAGTCGATGGCCTGGGGCCTAGGCCCCTCTTACCAGTGCGGGTGGAGGTACCAGTCACACTGGGATCCCCAGCCAGCATTCTGGCTCCAGAGAACACAGTTGCAAAAACACAGTAAGAATGATGTCAGCAAAAATGGCAGAATAAGGACCTCTGAAAGTTTGTCTTTCCATAAAAGCAATGAAAATCTAGCAAGGAATGTCAGCATCACCTCTTTCAGAACTCTGTAAATTAACCAAAGACTTACAGTAACCCAGAGAGCAAGAAAAACTGCTGAGAAGACATACAGATGACCAACAGGTACATGAAAATATGCTCAACATCACTAATCATCAGGGAAATGCAAGTCAAAACCTCAAGGAGATATCACACCTGTCAGAAAGGCTATTATCGAAGGGCTTCCCTGGTGGCGCAGTGGTTGAGAGTCCGCCTGCCGATGTAGGGGACACGGGTTCGTGCCCCGGTTCAGGAAGATCCCACATGCCGCGGAGTGGCTGGGCCTGTGAGCCATGGCCGCTGAGCCTGCGCATCCGGAGCCTGTGCTCCGCAACGGGAGAGGCCACAACAGTGAGAGGCCCGCGTACCGCAAAAAAAAAAAAAAAAAAGAAAGGCTATTATCAAAAAGACAAGAAATAACAAGTGTTGGTGAGGGTGTGGAGAAAAAGGAACCCTCTTGCACTGTTGGTGGGAATGTAAATTGATGCAGCCACCATGAAAAACAGTATAGAGGTTCCTCAAAAAATTAAAAATAGAACTACCATATGATCCAGCAATTCCACTTCTCGGTATTTATCTGAAGAAAACAAAAACACCAATTTAAAAAGATATACACACCTCTATGTTCATTGCAGCATTATTTACAATAGCCAAAATATGGAAACAACCTAAGTGTTGTTTAGGTCAATGGGTGAATGGATAAAGAAGATGTGGTATATAAATGCAATGGAATACGATTCAGCCATAAAAAAAGAATGAAATCTTGCCATTTGAGAAAATATGGATGAAACTTGAGGATACTACACTAAGTGAAATAAGTCAGAAAGAGAAAGACAAATACTGTGTGGTCACATTTATACTTGGAATTTTAAAAACAAAACAAAACAAAAAGCCCAGGTCATATACAGAGAACAGATTGATGGTTGACAGAGGTGGGGGGGGGTGGGAGATGGGTGAAATGGGTGAAGGGGGGTCAAAGGATACAAACTTCCTTTTATAAGACAAATAAGTCATGGGGATGTAATGTACAGCATGGTGACTATAGTTAATAATACTGTATTTCATATTTGAAAGTTGCTAAGAGAATAAATCTTAAAAGTCCTCATAACAAGGAAAAAAAATTTTTATAACTATGGTGTCTAGTTAACTAGATGTTAACTAGACTTATTGTGGTGATCATTTCACAATATATACAAATATCAAATCATTATGTTGTACAGCTAAAGCTAACATAATGTTGTATGTCAATTATACCTCAATAACAATAGATAAATTTAAAAAATAACCAACTGGGAGGGGGTTATAAAAGCTGAATCTTGGTAAGAACACCTTTATGGTGTTTTAATTTATCCTAGTCCTTAATCCCCACTTCCTAACTCCATAGCTGCCTAGAAAAGTAACTGGCTGCATTCCCAGTAATGAGGGAGCAGAACAGGGCTGAAACTCTTTCAAAGCTTCATTCCCAAAGGAGAAAGACCTGGTCTTCCCTGGAAGATCCCACTTGAAAGGCTGGTTTTTATGTGACCGCACTCACACTTACCCAGTGCTCAAAGCCTCTCCTGGGGTGAGTTTTTCAAATGTATTACTATCACAGCTACCTATGTATTACTATCATAGCTGCCATTGTCACAGGCAAAGGGGACAGTTGGGCAATTGACTAATCAAAAAGCTTAAAAGGAAAAACCAAGGAATGAGATGTCCTTAGGGGCTTCAAAAAGAAGCGACATATTCCTGGGAATCTAGATGGCCATGCGAATGCCCAGGGCTACGTGCATGCTCAGGAAAGTCCTTAGAAGGTCCTAAGCTCTCACTTCTGATGGACCTTTTGGGCTCTGTACAATCAGGAAGTGAAGACTAAGGCGGAGTTGTAAAATGCCTGGTTGGATGTTGAAACTGTGCCCCAACATACACTCAGAGCCTTCAGTAAAGGCTGGGAGACTTACTGGTTTCAGACATTCAAGAAAATCTCTGTCCAATCATTAGCTGACTACTAAACTAACCAGGCAGAGACTTCAGTGGCCACAAATGACAGAGATACAGACTTCACAGAATCTGTTCAGAAAACTCACTAAACAAACAATAAGCAGCAACAACAAACCCTGGGGAGTAGGGAGAATCTGGTTTCCAGAGCTGCCACGTTATTTTATTTGAAAAGTCCTGTTCTCAGCAAAAATTATGATACACGCAAAGAAACAACAAAAAAAAATGACCTAGACACATAAAAAAAAGAGCAATCAACAGAAACTGTCCCTGAGGAAGCCCGGATGTTAGACTTACTAGACAGACCTCAAATCATCTGATACAAATACGTTCAAAGAACTAAAGGAAGCCAGATCTAAAAAACTAAAGAAAAGTATGAAAATCTCTCACCAAATGGAGAATATCAATAAAGAGAGAGAAATTATAAAATGGGACCAAAAACAAATCCTAGAGTTGAAAAGAAATACTAAAGAGAGTCCTTCAGGATGAAATGAAAGGACACTAGACAATAATTCAAATCCACATGAAGAAATTAAGAGCAGGGACTTCCCTGGTGGTGCAGTGGCAGTTAGGAATCCGCCTGCCAGCATGGTGGGGACACAAATTCAATCCCTCCTCCGGGAAGATCCCACATGCCTTGGAGCAACTAACCCTGTCCTCCACAACAACTGAGCCTGTGCTCTAGAGCCTGTGAGCCACAACTACTGAGCCCGTGGGCCACAACTACTGAAGCCCGCGTGCCTAGAGCCCATGCTCCACAACAAGAGAAGCCACTGCAATGAGAAGCCTGAGCACTGCAACGAAGAGTAGCCCCTGCTCACCACAACTAGAGAAAGCCTGCACGGAGCAACGATGACTGAATGCAGGAAAAAATAAATAGGGAAAAAAGAGAAGAACCTGTTAAATTATTTAAAAACAAAAAAGAAATTAAGAGCAGTAAAGGTAACCGTAAGATAAATATAAAAGACAGTATAAATGTATTTTTTGTTTGTAAACCTTTTTTTCCCATCTGGTTTAAAGATGACTGCATAATGAAATAATTTAACACAAAAGCAGGCAATGGTGTAGGAATTAAGAAACAAAAAAGATGTAAGACAAATAGAAAAAAATAGGAAAGTGGCAGATGTAAACCCCAGTTATCAGTAATTACATTACATACAAATGGATTAAACTTTCCAATTAAAAGTTTTTTGAACTTTTTTAAATGGATATTTTAAATGTGATCCAACTACATGCTTTCTACAAGAGGTTCACTTTAGATTCAAAAACACAAAAAGCTGAAAATAAAAGAATGGAAAAGATTTACCATTCAAACAGCAAACAAAAGAGAACTGGAGTGGCTACGCTATCAGACAAAATAGACTTCAAGGCAAAAATTGTTACAAGAGCAAAGAAGCAGATTTTATGATGATAAAAGAGTTAATCCATAAAGAAGAAATAACAAGTATAAACATATGCACCTAACAACAAAGCCCCAAAATACCTGAAGCAAAAATTGACAGAATTGAGAGAAAAATAGATAATTTAAAAATAATAGCTAGAGACTTCAATACTCCACTGTCAATAATGGATAGACCATTATATAGAAGCTAAGCAAGGATACAGAAGACATAAACAACACTATAAGCCAACTAGGCCTAAAAGACATCTATAGAACACTCCACCCAACAATAGCAGAATATACATTCTTCTTAAGGACACATGGAACATTCTCCAGGACAGACCATATATTAGGACATAAAACAAGCCTCAGGGCTTCCCTGGTGGCGCAGTGGTTAAGAGTCCACCTGCTGATGCAGGGGACATGGGTTCGTGCCCCGGTCCGGGAAGATCCCACATGCCGCGGAACGGCTGGGCCCGTGAGCCGTGGCCGCTGAACCTGCGCATCCGGAGCCTGTGCTCCGCAATGGGAGAGGCCACAACAGTGAGAGGCCCGCGTACCACAAAAAAAAAAAAAAAAACAAGCCTCAATAAATTTAAAATGATTGAGATCATAAGAAGCATATTCTCAGGCCAGAGCAGAATAAAATTAAAATCAATCATAAAAGGAAAGTTAGTAAATTCACAAGTATGTGGAAATTAAAAAACATACTCCTAAAGAACCAATGAACCAAAGAAGAAAACACAAGGGAATTCAGGAAATACTTTGGAATGAATGAAATGAAAACACAACAGACCAAAATTTATTGGATGAAGCTCAAGTGGTGCTCAATTTATAACCCTAAATATCTACAGTAAAAAAATCTCAAATCAATAAGTTAACCTCCCATTTTAAGGAACTACAAACAGATTAGTAAACTAAACTCAAAGTAAGCAAAA